TATTGTTGTATTACCCAGTAATAGTGGTTGTTTTTAAAGGTAACATTTCACACACGTCACGTTTGACAGTATTGTTGTATTACCCAGTAATAGTGGTTGTTTTTAAAGGTAACATTTCACACACGTCACGTTTGACAATATTGTTGTATTACCCAGTAATAGTGGTTGTTTTTAAAGGTAACATTTCACACACGTCACGTTTGACAATATTGTTGTGTTACCCAGTAATAGTGGTTGTTTTTAAAGGTAACATTTCACACACGTCACGTTTGACAATATTGTTGTATTACCCAGTAATAGTGGTTGTTTTTAAAGGTAACATTTCACACACATCACGTTCGACGGTATTTTTTAGTATCATATATACATACCAACAGACACATATCTTGATGCTTGTAATCTGATTTCACTGGTTTATAGTTAGTTTACACATATCTTAATGCTTGTAATCTGATTTCCCTGGTTTATAGTTAGTTTCACACATATCTTGATGCTTGTAATCTGATTTCCCTGGTTTATGGTTAGTTTCACACATATCTTGATGCTTGTAATCTGATTTCCCTGGTTTATAGTTAGTTTTACACATATCTTGATGCTTGTAATCTGATTTCCCTGGTTTACTTGATGCTTATAATTTGATTTCCCTGGTTTATAGTTAGTTTCAACTCCTTTTTCAGATACATGCATTTCAACGAGATTGAAGCTATTGAACCTAACACTTTCTCCAACCTCCCGTCTTTGGAAAGATTGTGAGTTGATTTAGTTTTGATTTTAAACATAACAGCAGCTTGGTAGGAGTAGCTAGTCCATCAATCACAGCCTAGATGATCACAAGCAGTAAATACATGCCACCTTAAGAAGAAGATATTCAATGAAATGTCACAAACAAAATAATTCCTTAATTAAAACAGCATTTCTTCTCCATCACGACCACAACAAGTTCTTCTTAAGCTTATTGTGGACTACAACCCACAAAATATGTTGTTTTCATTAGGACGATAACACACAAAGCATAATGTGGACCACAACAACTGGACCGTAACATCTAGACCATAACACATTAATCTTGTACGTAATATGGACTTCCATAAACACTTTTTGTTTTTATTTAACATGCTTTGCAATACACGTAGAATTTTATTCTGATAATAGATGCTTTTTAGGCTACAAATTTTAGATTTTGTTCTCTGTACAAAATGACGCATTTAATAATATTCTAAAGCCGCTCTGTTGTGACTTACTGAAAACACCGTCATTAATGAGACCAACAAGACCGTTTTTTGTAACTACAATTAGTTGATTTGTTAAACATGTTTTTAATATATTCGTATTTCATATAATAGATCGCGGGTAAATGATATTCAGTTGAAGTAAGAAATGTTAACATCTAAGAACAATAAATGACCGCAACGACTATTATTCCAACTTTGTCATTATTTTTATTTCTTTAGTTTATGTCTAAAATCAGTACTGTTTAATTGTTTCAGAACAATTCAGTCTTCCGTGATTTTAATCATTTTGTCTTTTTTAAACAGATTTTTACACAATAATCGTTTGTCAAGGATACCTGTTGGTGCTTTTCGGGACATGAAGTCATTAAGAAGATTGTGAGTAACGGATCATGGTTTTAAAAGTTTATCACAACCAACATTTTATAAATAGACTTGTTACCTTAAAACCCTTGAGTGTAATACATTAAATGACAACCATTAGTTTTACCCTGAGGGCTACATTAGATAAGATACGCTGTGTTATTCTGGTATTCAAAGAAAATCCTGTTTCGACAATGTACGAGATTTAACAAGCAAATCACCTGGTGGCAGCAATACTAAACGACTTCTTTCTAACAATTAAGTATAATTAGATGAATAAATAAACTCAGGTAATGTTTACTTGATGGACAAAATATAACCAATTACTGTGAGGATAATTAATGTAATTTGACTAATTAAAAAGTCTAATAATAAATGTGTGTAGAATTGAAAAGTTTATTTACAAGGAAAACATGGGAATAATTATATACGTCAACAAATATCAAAGACAACTTGTATACTGGCCTGGTATGGCTTGGTGGTTAGGGATCTCGACTCACATTCTTTGGTGAAAAAAGATAGCTCAAGAATTGAGGCTGCGGGTGTTATTGACCAGCCGCTGTTCCTCTAGTCTGTCACTTCTAAATTACGAACGGCTAGTGGAGATAACCCTCGTGTAGCTTTGTACGAAATTCAACAAGTAAACAAGCTACCTCGTGCAAGAACACATTTAGTCTTGAAATCCCGACGTAAGGGGGCGTGTGAATCGACCGTTTGACTTGGAACTATCATTTCTCGTCAGTTGTTTTTACGATAGTAGTTGCAAGTGTGAAACAAACGATTGTTGGACGATTCTGTTTTAAGACGAGCAAGATGTCTCGTCGATATATTTGTCGCCCCAACTCACCCTCGTCCCAACTTTTGTCGAAAAAACAACTAATGTTTTGTTGACAGAGAAACATCTGAAAATTAATGATAAGAAAGGAAAGCCCCAAGTCAAACAGTTGATTCACACGCCCTCTTACGTCGGGATTTCATTGACAGAAAAACATCTAAAAATTAATGATGAGAAACGAAAGCTCCAAGTCAAACAATTGATTCACACGCCCTCTTACGTCGGGATTTCATTGACAGAAAAACATCTAAAAATTGATAAGAAACAAAAGCTCCAAGTCAAACAGTTGATTCACACGCCCTCTTACGTCGGGATTTCATTTACAGAAAAACATCTACAAATTAATGATGAAAAACGAAACCCCCAAGTCAAACAGTTGATTCACACGCCGTCTTACGTCGGGATTTCATTGATATAAAAACATCTAAAAATTAATGATGAGAAACGAAAGCCCCAAGTCAAACAGTTGATTCACACGCCCTCTTACGTCGGGATTTCATGACTAATTGTCGCACAAAACAAGACTATTGGGCTATTTGTGGTCTCACGCATGTATCGAAACCTGATTTTTAGCGTTATTAGTCATCAGACTTACCGTTGAGGCACCGGGATGGAGGTGGCTTTATCTTTGAGTTTTATTTTAGTTATATAGCTGTTTCTCGACTTTTTTAATTGTTAAATAACTCATTTTTTTCAATTTCTTTTCAAGGATAAAATGCACGTGAGTTATTGTTGATATAGGTTATACATCCTACAAACTTTACGTATATCTAATAATCCTAATAATATGTTCGTTACCAAGAATACCGGTTTCCAAGACTTCACCAGTTTCGGATATTCAAACTATGATTATATGTATCTTTTTATTCCGTTGGTTTTTCTTTGAATATTAGAATAACACAGCGTATCTTACCTAATGTAGCTCTAAAGGCAGAACTAGTGATTGTCATTTAATGTATCTCACACCGGGGTTTGAGAGTAACTAACATGTTAATGTAATTTGTGATAATGTGTTATAATTTTTCTTTAAATGATATTCAGGTAAGATAATTCGTTGCAGACGTTCTTTTAATATCCTGATTCGAAAAGCAAGTCGAATTATTATAAGACACAATTCTATCGTAGAAACAAAATTAAATACACTCCCTGAGAGTTTGAAAAACGTTTTGCAGGGTATAGTAATTATTTTACATCTTTAATGCAGCAGAAACGCGCTCCGCACTTTGGGACCGTCGGAACTCTTATAAGAACAGTGGCGGACCCAGAATCGTTTTGGGGGTTGGGGTCCAAAAAACAAATCTACCTCTACCTTGAAGTGACACATATCGTTCGAGAACATTAACTTAAATCATATATATTCTAGTATTGTGTAAAATACCGAAACTACGGGTGAACGTATATCGGATCACAGTACTTGGTTGTAAGGGGTGGTCCGAAAATTTCCACAGCAGTGTTTTTTGTGGATTGGTAGGGCCAATAAATCTATACTCTGACACAGGGATCATCCCATAAATCCTCCACAGTGTATATTTGGACACAGGGACCATCCCATAAATCCTCCACAATCTATATTCAGACACAGGGACCACCCCATAAATCCTCCACAATCTATATTCAGACACAGGGACCATCCCATAAATCCTCCACAGTGTATATTCAGACACAGAGACCATCCCATAAATCCTCCACAAGTCTATATTCAGACACAGGGACCATCCCATAAATCCTCCACAGTCTATATTCAGACACAGGGACCATCCCATAAATCCTCCACAATCTATATTCAGACACAGGGACCATCCCATAAATCCTTCACAGTGTGTATTCGGACACAGGGACCATCCCATAAATCCTCCACAGTGTATATTCGGACACAGGGACCATCCCATAAATGCTCCACAGTGTATATTCGGACACAGGGACCATCCCATAAATGCTCCACAGTGTATATTCGGACACAGGGACCATCCCATAAACCCTTCATTGACGAGTGGCGGTCAAATCCCACACCACTTACTAATGATTACCATAGTTACCCTGATGAATGTGGTTTTTAGACAACCGGCCCACAACCGTATTTAGTCATTCACCACAAGATATATAAACACAAATGCTGCTTTTTTTATTTTTGTGTACGCGATCTTTCAGTCGCATGATTCTAGCCTCATGTTTTTCATAACCTTAAAAGGTTTGTACAAGTTGTGAACGTAGGCTTGTGGTTTTGATAGTCGTTTCTTTATCTGTGTGTTGTATATATTTTTAAATATGTGATTTCCTGCACACAAACATAATCTCATAACTGTCAGACTGACGTCATCAATTCACGGTGATGTCTTTTGTACAAGTACTTTTATTACACATCTGATTTTTTTGTGTGTAGAACAGACTGTACATTTTACTGAAAACTTCTCACATTTTGTGTAGATACAAACAGTAGATTCGGAATTATAGTTAATAACCAATAAGATGGTTGGTATTAACTAATCTTATTATCTTGGAGTTATAACACGTGACTTGGTATTAACTAATCTTATTAACTTGGAGTTGAAACATGTGACTTTGAATTAACTGTAGATCCTGTAGTGACTAGTTCTGTATAGTAGAACCTGTAGTGACTAGTTCTGTATAGTAGAACCTGTAGTGACTAGTTCTGTATAGTAGAACCTATAGTGACTAGTTCTGTATAGTAGAACCTATAGTGACTAGTTCTGTATAGTAGAACCTGTAGTGACTAGATCTGTATAGTAGAACCTATAGTGACTAGATCTGTATAATAGAACCAGTAGTGACTATTTCTGTGTAACAGAATCTGTAGTGACTAGATCTGTATAGTAGAACCTATAGTGACTAGTTCTGTATAGTAGAACCTGTAGTGACTAAAGTTGTTTTTATAGTAGAATCTGTAGTGACTAGTTCTGTATAGTAGAACCTGTAGTGACTAGTTCTGTATAGTAGAACCTGTAGTGACTAGTTCTGTATAGTAGAACCTGTAGTGACTAGTTCTGTATAGTAGAACTTGTAGTGACTAGTTCTGTATAGTAGAACCTGTAGTGACTAGTTCTGTATAGTAGAACCTATAGTGACTAGTTCTGTATAGTAGAACCTGTAGTGACTAGTTCTGTATAGTAGAACCTGTAGTGACTAGTTCTGTATAGTAGAACCTGTAGTGACTAAAGTTGTTTATAGACGGCTGGACTCTAACACACTTATCTGTGACTGCCATCTGCTCTGGCTGTCGGAAATGTTAAAAGAAAAACAAACAACTACCCAGGCTGCAGCCACGTGCGAATACCCAGTCTCTCTCCAAGGAAAATCGCTGACTGCGCTCTCTTTCGACGATTTCCATTGCAGTAGGTGACCAAAACCTATCATATTTTTAAATGTTATTTTTATCCGTTGCGTGAGATTTTCACCACAGAAAAAAAGTGTTTTGCATAATTTGTTTAATTTATTCAACAACAATATGAACAGAACATTTATATAAAAATTGTTTATACTGAACTATATACTTTATGACTTATAAAAATCCAGTTTTGTTTCCTGCCATTCTATCCACTATGGCCTGTAAACGTCCAGTGTTTTCCTGACATTCTGTCCCTTAAGGCTGGTAAAAGTCCAGTGTTTTATATTTTTTAATTATATATACTTTTTATTAGATTTTATTATTATGAGGATTATTTTTCATTAGTCCATGGGTTTAGAACTTATCTAAGTCTCTTAAGTTTGCAGAGTTTCGTGAAATATTATTGGGATTACGGACGAAAATGTCGCTGACAGTGATAGTACTTGACTAGTGAATCAATGTAATCACTATAAGAACGGTATGTTAAATCATTTATGGATTAAAATGTTGTTAGGACATCTATGAAACAGTTGTTCACTTTTGTATACTGTAATACATGTGGAATGTTGACCAGAGAAACCTCAGTTCACGGAAGAACCAACAGACGTGGACGTTTCATTTGGGGGGACAGTGTACTTCTCTTGTAAGGCTGATGGTGACCCGGAACCGGAAATAGTGTGGCTTCACAACAAGTAAGTTACCATTACCACAGATACAAACACAGTAGCTATGGAAATAGTTGATTACTATGGCAACCAAGATAAATGTCCATTTGCATAATTAAACTGATAATAATTCATCACTACGCTAACATAGATTAATAATTTACAAAACATATTTTTTGTTTGACGAACCTCTAAAACGTAGCTAATAATCGGAAAACACCGTTTGTTCGTTATTATATGTCTATATTTAAATGTTTTGATACGTATTCCAGAGATTAAAAGTTGGTCAAATATTAAAACCACAAACACCTGTAACTAATGTGATATCAAACAATATTAAACCTTGGTTATCCTAACCAATGAAATCTTATTGTTTACAATGTTATCCTGAATAATGGAACCTTATTGTTTATTAATTGTTTACAATGTTATCCTGAATAATGGAACCTTATTGTTTATTAACTGTTTACAATGTTATCCTGAATTATGGAACCTTATTGTTTATTAACTGTTTACAATGTTATCCTGAATAATAGAACCTTATTGTTTATTAACTGTTTACAATGTTATCCTGAATTATGGAACCTTGTTGTTTATTAACTGTTTACAATGTTATCCTGAATTATGGAACCTTATTGTTTATTAACTGTTTACAATGTTATCCTGAATTATGGAACCTTATTGTTTATTAACTGTTTACAATGTTATCCTGAATTATGGAACCTTATTGTTTATTAACTGTTTACATAAATTTTGTTTAGAAATGAGATCATCCCGGAAGAAGATGCTAGACTCAGCATTCTTAATGATGGTACCCTGATGATTACTGAAGCTAGAGATAGTGACCAGGGAGTCTACGAATGTATGGCCAAAAATGCTGCTGGAGAAGCAAAATCCAGAACTGCTCAGATACGTTACTACGGAGACAGAGGTAGATAGGAATTATTAGATATTAGATCCAGAACTACTCAGATACGTTACTATGGAGACAGAGGTAGATAGGAATTGTTAGATATTAGATCCATAACTACTCAGATACGTTACTATGGAGACAGAGGTAGATAGGAATTGTTAGATATTAGATCCAGAACTACTCAGATACGTTACTATGGAGACAGAGATAGATAGGAATTTAGTTGATACACTGTCGTGGTTTGTATATAAAACAATATCTCACCAGTTTACTGACCTTTCAGTTGATATACTGTCGTGGTTTGTCTATAAAACAATATCTCACCAGTTTACTGACCTTTCAGTTGATATACTGTCGTGGTTTGTCTATAAAACAATATCTCACCAGTTTACTGACCTTCCAGTTGATATACTGTCGTGGTTTGTCTATAAAACAATATCTCACCAGTTTACTGACCTTCCAGTTGATACACTGTCGTGGTTTGTCTATAAAACAATATCTCTCCAGTTTACTGACCTTTCAGTTGATACACTGTCGTGGTTTGTCTATAAAACAATATATCACCAGTTTACTGACCTTCCAGTTGATACACTGTCGTGGTTTGTCTATAAAACAATATCTCACCAGTTTACTGACCTTTCAGTTGATACACTGTCGTGGTTTGTCTATAAAACAATTTCTCACCAGTTT